TCAGGCGTAGGATCCCCTGCTTTGTGTTAGTCTTGGTGCTTCTGCCGTCGTTCCGTCGCCAGACCCCTCGGCTTCGCTTTCCTTCACCTTGGACTCTGGCGCCTTCTCGGTGTTTCTTCCGCGACTCCACCACCCTGACGCCGCTTCCTGTTCCTGCTGCCGTTTCTCTTGCTGACCCCTCCGGCGGTCCGGTAGTCGCCCGCAGTTCCACCACCCTTCCCTGTCCGGCGGTTCCTTCGGGCTCTCTTACAGGTCTGCATATCCCCTCGTTCTCCAGGAACCTAGTTGGTGTCGGCTGCCTCCAGGACCTTGGCGTCACCACTACGTTCCCTGGTCACGAGCGGTATGCTGTCTGTACCGAGGCCGCCACTGGTGCCCCCCTGTCCACGTTCCCCCGGGACCCGGTGTCCGGCCTGTTCCACTCTGGACACCGTGCCCCCCCCGGCTGGAGCGCCCCCTCAGGTGGCTGTGTCTACCCAGGTTGCTGCTGCCTGCTCCTGTCGCTCCCTCACTCACCCGACCCTCCTGTGGCACCACCGCCTAGGTCACCCTGCGCTCCCGCGTCTGCGTCACATGTCCCAGCACGGTCTTGTCCTTGGTCTCCCAGGTTCACTCCCCGCGTTTCCCTCCTCCCCAGCTCCACCTTGCACGCCTTGTTCGAGGGTCGGCTTCGCCGTGCCCCTCACTCCTCCTCGTTCCCCCTACCGCCGCGCCGCTGCAGACCCTGCACCTGGACGTCTGGGGCCCCGCCCCCGTCCCTGGGCCGCGTCGCGAGCGCTACTTCCTTGTGCTTGTCGACGACTTCACTCGTTACACCACAGTCTTTCCCCTGGAGCGCAAGGCCGACGTGCCTGGCGCCCTCATCCCCTGGCTTGTCTCTGCGCGTGTCCACCGCGGTCTCCCTGTCTTGCGTCTTCACTCAGACCGTGGTGGCGAGTTTGCCTCAGGTGTCCTTGGTCGCTTTTGTCGTGCGGAGGGCATCACCCAGACGTTCACCCTACCGGACTCCCCACAGCAGAATGGGGTCGCTGAGCGACGCATCGGCTTTGGTCATGGAGGTCGCTCGCACCTCCATGGTCCATGCCGGTGCACCCCATTTTCTGTGGCCGTTCGCTGTGCGCTACGCTTCTCACCAGCTTAACCTGTGGCCGCACCCTCAGCAGCCGCAGGTTTTGCCGACCCGTCTGTGGACTGGGTCTCCTGGTTGCCGCGTCTGCGTTCCACGTCTGGGGCTGCCTTGCTCACGTCCGTGCCTCCGGCACGGACAAGCTCACTGCCCGCACCCTTCCCTGCGTCTTCCTCGGTTTTCCCCTTGACGCGTCCGACTGGCACTTTTACCACCCGCCGTCTCACCGCTTCTTTCACTCTCGTGACGTCACCTTTGACGAGTCCGTCTCCTACTACCGCCGCTTCCCCCACCGTGGTCCCCCGGTTACCCCCCCCTGTTCCTGGTCACCCTTCCCCGGTAGTCCCTGCCCCTCCTCCTCCTCCCCGTCCCGCCCCCTCTGGTGTGTCCCACGTCACCCCCCTTCCGTCCGTGGACCCGGTTGAGGAGTCTTCTGACTCTGGTGGCCCTCCGGTGCAGTCCTCGCCGGCCGCCCCTCCCCAGGTGTCCCCTCCCCAGTCCCCTCCTCCGCCGTCCCTGCCGCCACTGCAGCCGTCGCCGTCGCCGCCGCCGCCGCCAGTCGCAGCCCCGTTCGCTGACTCTGGGGGTGCTCGTCCCGGTTGCCCTGAGGGTGGTCCCTCTGGGGGTGCGGTGTGGGAGCGTGCTGGTGGTAGCCGAGGAGCAGCTTGCGGTCCAGGTGTCGCCGTTGTGCCGCCGCAGCAGCAGTCCCGCCGGTGTCCGCCCTTCGCCTGCTCGGCCTTCCGTCCCCCGACCCTGCGTCGGTTCCTCCCCGACCGTCTCCTCCTCTTCCTGTCTACGGCCCTGTTTTCCCTCCGCCGGACTCGTCCCCGGCCCGTCTCCCCCCTCGTTCACCTCCTGTGTCCCCTCCCCTGTCTCCTGACCCGACTCCTCCATCGCACGTCTGGTCTCACCGTCCCTCCCGTGCTCGTCCTGCCTCGCCTGTCCTGCGCTCCCACCCTATGTTGCTTCGTTCACACGCGTCTCGTCCTCCCCTTCTGCCGTCGCCTCCTCCGTCCTCCTTGTTGTTGCGCCCCCCCCGCTGTCCGACTACCTTCGTGCGCTCGTCCCCTCGTTCCTCGGGTCCTTGCCTCTCTCGTTACCGACCCGTCTGTTCCAGTCTCATGCCTTGACGCTCTTGTCGCTGCTGTGGCTGACTTCGCCTCTACCCGCCGCCTTGACTACGCCACCGCTCTGGTCTCTGACCCTGCCTATCCTCCGTCTGTCGGGGGTGCTCCTGCCCTTGGCAGTGACGTCCTGGAGGACCGCCAGTTCGAACTTGCTTTCCTGTCCGAGGCTGCTCCCCATCTCTGTTCCATGCTGCTAGTCCATGAGGGTGACCCAGACGCTTTTGACATCCCGACCCCTCGCACTTACGCTGAGGCGACTTCGGGACCCTGGGCCTCGCAGTGGATAGCTGCCATGGAGCAGGAGATGGCATCTTGGAGATCCACCGGCACCTTCGTCGACGCAGTTCCCCCACCTGGGGTGAACGTAGTCGATGGCCGCTGGCTCTTCAAGGTGAAGCGCCCTCCTGGAGAGCCGCCTGTCTTCAAGGCGCGCTATGTGGCTAGAGGCTTCAGTCAGCGCGAGGGGGTGGACTTCTTCCAGACTTTCGCTCCGACCCCGAAGATGACTACTCTTCGGGTTCTGTTACACCTAGCTGCTCAGCGTGACTACGAGCTTCACTCTCTCGACTTCTCCACTGCCTTCCTTCAGGACAGGCCTACACGAGCAGGTCTACCTGCGCCGCCCTCCGGGCTTTACTGGCACCTTCCCTCTTGGGACCCAGTGGCTCCTGCGGCGTCCCGTCTACGGCCTGCGCCAGGCTCCCCGTGAGTGGCACGACACTCTGCGTGCTACGCTTGCTGACCTGCAGTTCTTTCCGTCTTCTGCAGACCCTTCACTCTTCGTTCGTGCTGGCCAGACTCCGTTCTACATCCTCGTCTACGTCGACGACCTGGTCTTTGCCACAGCAGACAGGGACGCGCTGGCCTCCGTGAAGGCAGAGCTGCTGAAGAGACACACCTGCATTGACCTTGGAGAACTGCGCCGTTACCTTGGCTTGCAGATCTCCAGGACAGAGCTGCGCGCACCATCACCCTGACTCAGTCACACTTGGTGCGCCAGGTCCTTCAGAGGTTCAGCCTTCAGTTCTCCTCTGCACAGCCCACCCCTCTGCCTGTAGACCACAGGCTCTCCGCTCCAGTGCCTGAGGAGTTGGTAGAGCCGAGCGGCCCCTACGCAGAGCTGGTGGGTTGCCTCATGTACCTGATGACTTGCACTCGCCCAGATCTCGCATACCCTCTCAGCATCCTGGCTCGCTTTGTGGCCACAGCAGACACCGACCGCAGCACTGGTCTGCCGCTAAGAGGGTTTTGCGTTATCTTGCAAGTACATCGGGCATGGGGTTAGTGCTAGGAGGACGCAGGCCAGCGGTCCTTACTGGGCACACAGATGCTTCGTGGGCAGACGACGCTGAGACACTCCGGTCTACCCAGGGCTACTGCTTCAGCCTTGGCTCAGGTGCCGTCTCGTGGAGAGCTACTCGCTCCTCGTCTGTTGCACAGTCCAGCTGTGAGGCTGAGATCTACGCTGGTGCCATGGCGGCACAGGAGCTCCGCTGGCTGACCTTCTTGCTCACTGACTTAGGTGAGCGACCTAGCTCTGCCCCGGTCCTGTTCGCTGACAACCGGGCCATGATCCTCCTGTGTCAGGAGCCTCGACTCGAGGGCAGAGCGAAGCACATTCAGCTGCGGTACTTCCTCCTGCGTGAGCTACAGCAGCGACGTCAGGCTCGCGTAGTACACTTGGCCTCAGGTGCCAATACGGCTGATATCTTTACGAAGGCGCTTGCGCCTAAAGATCATCAGCGGCACTGTGTACAGCTTGGTCTAGTTCCTGTAGCCTCTCACTTGCTAGGACCTTGACTTTGTACTGTCCTTTATATGTATACTCAGACTGGACTTGTGTCCTCTCCCAGTGGCTGGACTAGTAGTGCCGCCCTGCTCTTTGCTTGCCTTGTCTGTACTCCTTCTGACTGGTCGCTCAGACCCTTGTCTCAGAGGTTGGACTAGTAGTGCCGCCCTGAGCTGTTTGTTTAGGACTTTCCCCTATGCAGTCTAGGGGTGTGTCAAACATGTCTATTTGTTATGTTTGTATAGACTGTATAGGGTAGCCTCTTAGAGGGTACAACACTTAGCTATATTGTGTGTACTCTCCCCCTATCACTATCATTCAATTTTCTGATAGTCTCAACAATAATCGCGCTGGAAGTCCAGTCGGCAACTTGCCAGGCTGGAAACTCGTCGTTCTGATACGAATCGTGCTGGAGCGAAGTGTCAGAGATGGTGAGTTCCGCTTCTGGCGGGCACGAAGCGAGAAACCTCGGTATTACCGTAGCTGGATCTGCTTCGACTTTTTGCAGAGTGTTTCAAGAGAAATTACGGGGGGGCTTATAGGAAACAGGTTTAGAGAAATGAAGGGGGGCTATAATCGAATAATGCTTATAATGCAATAATGCTTGAGTTAGAGGCCCATGGGACTAGTCCTAAGGAGGGGCGTCTATCCGGGTGATTACGGTATTACAAGAATCAGGGTCCGGCTCCGATACGACGCTGGAAAAACAGGCCACACTACACGAGGCACGCTGATCGATCAGAGTTCACTCATAAAAAAAAACCCTGAAATTTCAGGCCTCTGACTTAAAAAAATCCAGTCTCATCAGGGTCACCCCCCAAAAAAGCCCCGATTTTACCTTAATCAGGGTAAAAGCCTGCAATCTGAGGCCCACAATTCCAGCTAGTATTCTACATTTATGACTCTCCAGCTTGCGGAGTCCGTGCATTCTTAGGGTGCGGCTCAGCACCCTGGCTCTCTAATTTTTGCAGCGAAGTCTTCGAACAAAGATCCGTCAATCTCGCTGATCGAGTGAAACCTCCGGTGACCTCTCACCACCGTTGGTTGCGCAACTGGGGATTTCGACGGGCTATCGGCAGACCAGTGCTTGAAGCTGCTGACGTGGGCCAAAAACGGGTTCTCCACGCGGCGGCGGCTGCAGATGCGTGCTCTCTAGGCAGCTACTACTATCCTCGATCTCGGGTGCTGCTAGTAATATGATGAACTCCCGAGCCGCGGCTTCCGCCCTTCACAGACCACCGGCCGCTGCTGCTCCAGAGTGAGGTCGCATCACATCCGCTCCGGGATCTACGGTGATGGGGAGGCCTCTCAGAGACGCCAATGGATTGGGTCGCATCAGAGCTGGCGAGGGTGGTAGTAGTAGTAGTAGTACTCGTGAAAGGAGATTCCGTCGCAACGGTCGCGTAACAGGCGGTAGTTGCGTCGACGGAAGCTGACGTTGCCGTTGCGAAGGCGAACGGCTCCATGACGTCACTGACGTGCGACGAAGATTGTCGCGCGAATGCCGACTGCGTCATGAAAATCTTGGAGATGATTTTGTAGGAGCTCTCGGCTCGACGGCTTTCACACTGCAGCACACCCCGTCACCAAGAAGCGTCACGACTTTGACGCGGAAAGGAACACTTGACTCACAGTTTCTTTAACACTCTAGCAAGCTTACGGCTAAACGGATCATGTAAGGATGACGCTGCGGCGGACACTATGTATGAGCGTCACTCGACTAGAAGTCGGAAAAGTGACCATCGACCCTAAATGATCAGAACCACACAACAATGTTTACTGTGTACTACTACGCAGTGAAGGGTGTTTAGTAGCTAAGAACCGTCGGGCTGCTTGAACACACTGCAGGGGAGGGAGCGGGAAGGGGAGAGGCTCCCAAGGGAACATCATCCACAATGGATGGTGCACACTGCACAGACAGAGGAAGGCCCTTCCCGGGATTCGCGGGATTCCGCCATGGCCCTCATGTGCCATGAGGTAGATGCAAGGAGATTCGCCCCGCCACTGGTGAAATGACGACGAGACCCGCGGATCGCAGAGTAGGCACTGGCTGCGTGAGTGCTGGAGGCTGGCTGTATTCAGCCGAGCTCAGGACAGGACCAAGGGCGGGAGGTGGGTGCTATGGCTACATGTGGCGGCATGCACAACTGTTGCAGGATTGAAAACTCCCCTAGTCGCTCTGCTCCAGTCGGTGAAGTGGTGAAGGGGCTAGAGTGTCTATCTACGTATTGTACCAGTTCACAGAGGCCCCGGAATGGTAGCTCTTTAGTGACTTCCCCAAAATGCCCTGAATTATAGCTTGGCTCGGAGTAAGCTTCTTACTTACCGCTTCACTTCTGAGCTGCAAATCTCGGATTATCGGGATTACTGAGAAATTACCCAGAGCTCCCTCCATATCAACCATCCGTCCCGTCTGCCCTCCTCCCCCCGGCATTACAGGGTCTTGGGAAAGGGTGGGTTGCAAGATCGCAGAACAGACCAAATCCCACTAGCTGGATGAAAGGGGTTGGTAGGGATACTCGAAGTACCAGTGTGGTTGAGTACGGTGACAAGTTGCGCCAGGCTGGTTCGGATAACGGGTTGCGTTATGTACAGCAAACAGAGGAATCGCGCTGCCGACATCTCTGGTCCGACAGTTCTTGCCAGCCTCCCGCCCCCTGGCCCCAGGATTCTCCAGATTCTCCTCTATCCCCGTCAGAAAGAAACCCACTTCTCTGTACCAGTGCGCTGGTGCCGACTGGAAATGCGATGTCCATAGTCTGCCCATGACATCTAGACCAGACTCAAACGTCAGGGTCAGAAACTTCTTCCGTTATAGAGATAATTTTGCATCACACTATAGCGAGTCGCGAAGATGGGCATGTCGGGAGGGATCGCCCACCTAGCGAGTTGGGAAAGTATATCGGCGCTCGGTATTAAGTTCCTCGATAACATATACGGTCAATGGTGAAATAATTTGTTAGGTGTTGCAGGAGACTAAGTATAGAATCTGCAAACACGAACACTTGGAAAACCTCAAGTGTAAGCCTAGGATCTTTGCTGGAATGGTAGACAAATAAAACAGCGGAAGTCTTGTAAAAGCATAATAGTCAAGGCTGAATAACCTGAGCTCATGAACTTGTGGGTAATCAAAGTTAATAATGAAAATGCATAACATATACTTATTGTTAAAGTGAGAATGAATGATAGACTAGAAGTGGAAACCTAGAGGAAATACTAGGTGGTTGTACTCACTAGAAGCATACCTCAGTCTAGTCTATAACTTCTACATAGCTAATATGTATAAGTTGACACACCCCCTAGGCTAGACAAGGGGTGAAGCTAAACAAGAAGCAAACAGCTCAGGGCGGCACTACTAGTCCAACCACTGAGGCAGGGGTCTGGAGACCAGCCAGCAAGAATACAACCAAAACCAAAGCATGCAAAGGCGGCACTACTAGTCCAGCCACTCGAGGTAAGGCCACAAGGCCAGTCTGACAGGCATATATAATAGAGAGTACACAATCAGGATCCTAACAAGGGAGCAGCTACAGGAACAAGACCAAGCTGTACACAGTGCCGCTGATGATCTTTAGGCGCAAGCGCCTTAGTAAAGATATCAGCTGTGTTGGCACCGGAGGCCAAGTGAACTACGCGGGCCTGGCGGCGCTGCTGTAGCTCGCGCAGGAGGAAGTACCGCAGATGGATATGCTTCGCTCTGCCCTCAAGCCGAGGCTCTTGACACAGGAGTATCATGGACAGCAGCGACAGCAGCGACAAGCGCGTCAAGGCGCGAGACAGGAACAGCAGGGTCGGTAACAAGAGAGGCTAAGGACCCGAGGGACAAGGGGACGAGCGGTACGGAGGTAGTCAGAGAACGGAGGAGGTGCAACAGCAAGGGACGAGGGAGGAGGGGACGGGAGGAGGGGAGGACGAGACGAGCGGGAACGGAGCAACATAGGGTGGGTGGGAAGGACAAGAGAGACGGGACGAGTACGGGAGGGACGGTGAGACCACACGTGGGACGGAGGTGTAGGGTCAGAGGACAGCGAAGGGGACACAGGAGGGGAACGAGGAGGAAGACGCGCCGGAGACGAGTCCAACGGCGGGAACATAGGACCGTAGACAAGAAGGTCAGCAGGCGGTGGGGGAGTCACCGGTGCGCGGTCCGTGGAGGGAAGGTCGAGCAGGCGGAGAGCGGAGACCGGCGGCGACGGCTGCTGCGACGGCTGGGCCGGAACTTCCGGACCGGCAGAGGCAGGACGACCGTCGGTAGAACACTCAATAGCAGCACCCCCAGAACCAACACCCCCAGAGCGAGAACCCCCTCCAATACCAGCGGCACCCCCAGAAGCCACAGGACGAACACCCTCCTCAACACCAGCACCCCCAGGGGCCAAGAGCGGCAGCGGCAGTGGCGGCGACGACTGCGGCGGCGCCGGCGACAGCGGCGACGGCTGCGGCGGCGACGACGGCGGCGGCTGCAGCAGGGTCGGCGACTGCGACAATGGGAGCGGAGGCACCGGGAAAGGGGGACGCGGCAAGGACGGACCGGGGGTACCACCAGAGTCAGCAGACTCCTCAACGGGGACAACCGACGGGAGGGGAGCGACGTGAGAGACACTAGACGGGGCATGATGAGGCGGGAGAGGGGCAGGGGCTACCGGGGAGAGGAGCAAGGAACAGGGGGGGGGAACCGGGAGACCTCGGTGAGGGAAGCAGCGGTAGAAGGAGACTGACTCGTCAAAGGTAACGTCACGAGAGTGGAGGAAGCGGTGAGACGGCGGGTGATAGAAAAGCCAGTCAGACGAGTCCAGGGGGAAACCGAGGAAGACACAGGGGACAGTGCGGGCAGTGAGCTTGTCCGTGCAAGAGGCACGAACGTGAGCAAGGCAGCCCCAAACGTGGAACGCAGATGCGTCACCGGGGGACCCGGTCCAAAGAAGGGTCGGCGAAACCTGCGGCTGCTGAGAGCGTGGCCGCAGGTTAAGCTGGTGAGCAGCGTAGCGAACAGCGAACGGCCACAGAAAATGGGGGGCATCGGCATGAATCATGGAGGTGCGGGCGACCTCCATGACCAAGCCGATGCGGCGCTCAGCAACCCCATTCTGCTGTGGCGAGTCCGGCAAGGTGTACGACTGGGTGATGCCCTCCGCACGACAGAACTGTCCAAGCCGACCAGAGGCAAACTCGCCGCCCCGGTCGGAGTGGAGACACAACACGGGAGACCGCGGTGGAGACGCGCAGCCACAACCCACGGGAGAAGAACGTCGGGCACGTCGGCCTTCCGCTCCAGGGGAAACACTGTGGTGTAGCGCGTGTAGTCGTCGACGAGCACAAGGAAGTAGTGCTCACCGCGCGGTCCGGGGACGGGGGCAGGGCCCCAAACGTCCAGGTGCAGGGTCTGAAGGGGGGCAGTAGCAGGGCGCAGCGAGGAGGAGTGAGGAGCACGGCGGAGCCGACCCTCGACGCAAGGCGTGCACGGTGGCGCAGTCGAGGGAGGAAGGGCAGGGAGCGACGCGGGGAGACCTAAGACAAGACCGTGCTGGGACATGTGACGCAGACGCGGGAGAGCAGGGTGACCTAAGCGGTGGTGCCAGAGAAGGGAGGGGTGAGTGAGGGACCGACACGAGCAAGCTGCAGCGACCTGGGAGGACGCACCAACCGGGGGGGAAGCGGTGTCTAGGGTAAACAGACCGGACACCGGGTCCGGGGGAACGTCGCAAGGGGGGAACCTGAGACAGCCTCAGAACAGACAGCGAACCGCTCGTGCCCGGGGAACGTGGTGGTGACGCCGAGGTCCTGGAGACAGCCGACACCAAGCAGGTTCATGGAGAACGAGGGAACGTGGAGGCCAGTAAGGGAGCCCGAGGGAACTGCGGACAGGGAAGGGACGTTAGAATTGCGGAGCGACGATAGGACCCGCAGAGGGGTCAGCGAGAGAGACAACAGCAGGCGCAGCAAGCGGCCGTGAGCGTGGAACGGTCGCGGAAGAAAGAAGCAGGCAGAAGCATTGGAGTCGAGAGTGAAGGACAGCGACGCAGTGGCGGAGGCTGGGGACGGAGCCGGTGCAGCGACTAGACTAGGCAACCTAGGGAGTCCTACGCCTGACGCAGCAGGGGAGGCTAAGCTACACAATGGTGCAACACCTAAACTAGAGTACACAGGGTAATAAGATCCAGCAACACTAGAAGCGTCAGAATACAAAGCATGCAAAGCAGCACCTATCTTATCCATGTCTAACTCAAAGATCGGCACGCCCTAGCGGAGCAGGCTGTGCCAGTCGGGGAGGTCCGGGCCCGGGCCAAAGCGACGACGAAAGTGATCGTCGAGGCGGCGGAAACAGCGAGCGGTCGGGTGCGGGCGGCGGCACAAAGTGCCGCGAAGAGGCCCGGTCTGAAGCTGGTACTGGCAGGTGACAGCATCGGAGCCGCCGGTAGACGCCAAGCTGCGCGGGCCGCCACTACGGCCACTACCTCCAGAGGTGCCGGGCCAGCCAGGCGGGAGACGGGCCCACTGTTGCGGCGACTGCTGCTGGGACGGCGACTGCTGCTGGGGCGGCGGCTGCGGCTGGGACTGCTCCTGCTGCGGCTGAGGCTGCTGCTCCTGCCCACCAGTGGTAGTCCCCGCAGGCGGACTACCGTCACCACCACTACCGCCACCACCACCACCTGCGCCACCACCCCTACCTCCCTGGCGACCACGGCCACCGCGGCGCGAGCGCTGCTGCGGGTGGACCGCAGCAGCCGACTTTGTGAGAGGGGCCACCGAGGCGTCCGCAGCCGAAACATCAGTGAA